CAAGAAGCAAAATATGATAAAATACCAGCAAAACAAGCAAATTGTGACTCAAGAAACATCGTACGTATTAATTCACATTTTGTTCTAGTTTTGCTTGGGATTGAAAATGTTTGAAACAACGGCTTTTTGCGACCGTACGGTTTTGCAATAATGTTTGTCGCTACTGCGTCCACTGTGGCTAAAATATTCATTGCAGAATTGTGTATAGTTTTGCTGTCAAATTAATCCCAAGCTAAAAATAATAACTATCTGAGATTAAATTGAGCTTAGAGATTGAAACGGTTTGAGTGGAACTGAAAAAGTGAAAATAGGTTTTGGCACAGTTGCATGTGCTATTTGTCCGGTTGCGTGCATGTGTTAAATTTAAGAAGTGCTCGCTGCTCGTCATCAGGTATTTTCTAAAGTACTCGCTGCTCGCAAGGCAAACTTGGTCACCGCTTGTGCTCGCAAAAATAAACGCACTGCTCTCATGCTCGCAAATGCTCGCAAAGACCATTCAATACCCCAAGAGGTGGCCTTGGTGACGAGAGTGGGTCAGTGGTTAATATGTTAGGGCGCGGACCAAGCGCATTCAACAAATCAAAGGCAACGTATTGCAAAATTATTACGCGCACCGCCCAACACCGCCAGCACGACACCCAGCATCAACACCCGCTGTTTCGGAAAATGAGCCCCAGCTCACCCCCCAATTGCGAAACGTCTCTCCCCGGGGAGGCACGCGGCTGGACCCTAGAAAGCGGTGGAAATCGAGCCTACAACACCACCGGCACACTCGCCACCCAACATCACCCCCGCTACTACCACCACTACCCCCTCTACCCAAGACAACCACCATCACCATGTACACCAACACCGCCACACAACACCTAACATCACCCCCATCACCACCCGCCACCAACACATACATTAATGTTAAATTTATATTTTATGACTTCACAGGACTTCCTGTGACTTCATTTCATTTTGGATGTTTTCAGATATGTATCGTATCTCATTATTAGGTTTGAATACATCAAGTTTTTCGATAACGAGTTGTGTTCACATGTTGTTAATATGCTCATAGAATGCAATGGTATTCTTATTTATACCCTGTAATCTGAATTCTTAATTCCCGGATGTTACATCTACCTTACAACTTACCTTCGCGTAAAATGAATATCGTTGAAAACATGGAGGTAGAAGCTGGATACAGTCCGAACCATTCTCTTTATCTTCGGACGTATTTACTGACATGTTCTCATGCGTCCCGTTATGAGATGCAAATCATTCGTCTTCGGAAATAAAACTGAATGTAATTATTGCGTTCCCAAAAATGGACGCTCGGTATAAATTCCCTAAACTGTTAAATATGTTGCATACAGTAACTGAAGCACCATCATAAGGCGAACTTCCAAAATCGAACTGAAGAAAACTGCTGGCATTTTAGAAAGCGAGTGAAAATGAAATTCTCTGAAAATAAATAGCTACAGAATTGTATTTAGTTTTTTCTTGTGGTATTCAAAGTGTAAGCCCTTCTCACCTTCTCAAACCGAATGCAAAAAGTAATTTTTCCCCATTCGTTGCTGCTAATAGAATGGTGGAAGCATTAAAGTGCACCTAACCCCAATTTTTTTTTTTCGCTAAAACGAATCTACTTGTTATTTGAAATAGTTCTGCGAAAA